GGCTGAGGCAGGCATAGCCCACCCTGCCCACTATGTCAGCGTGGGAGCGTGCACAAAGGATCTGCCTCCCCTTGGAGTCCTCATGTCTGAGTCAAGAGTGCACGTATCCACAGCAGGTTTACTGATCCATGCCAACCAGCCTGGGCTACAAAGTGAGTTCAAGTCCAGCCTGAACTACACAGAAAGACTCTGTCTCAAAGAACAAACAAAAAATAAATAAAATGTACTCACTAAGAAGATGGTCCACTCCCTCAGCACCCCATAAAGAATTATTGGGGCTTATGTCTCTCAGGAGGAAATGAGGTAGGAGTTGGGGAATGGCAAATCAGGTTTGGCTACTGTAATGAACTGTCAGTAATGGAGAGCTGTCAAATCATAGCCCAGATGCAGGCACAGAGCAGCTTTGGAGTCCTGCATAGGACAGCCTAGATCTGACATCCAAAGAAATATAAAAGATGGGGCCCTTGGGCCTCCCAGCAACTTCCTCTTGTTCTTTTTCTTCTTCTTTTTTTTTTTGTCTTTTTGAGACAGAGGCTCATTATGCAGTTCAGGCTGCCCTTGTGCTCATTTTGTAGCCCAGGCTGGCCTCAAACTTGCAATGATCCTCCTGCTTCAGCCTCCTGAGTGCTGGGATCACAGGCATGTGCCACCACCCCTGGCTTCCCCTTGTTCTTACAGTGGCAGTACTGCACACGGGACATACAGTGTCTTCTTTTTTTCTTTCTTTCTTCTTTTCTTCTCCTTTTCTTTCTTCTTTTTATCCTGTTTTTTTTCTCAATAAAATTGTCTCTGTCAAATTCTTTGAGTGGGACAAGCCAGAACCACTGGATACCACACCATCCCCTAACATTACCTTCCTTGCCTCTCCTGGAATCATCTTTGAAGAAAGGTTCTCAGACCCTACAGCTGGCTGTATGAAACAGAAAACCTGCCTGTTATTATAGTTGGTCATTTAGCAAAAATGTCCTCAAAAGTGAGGAGTCCTGCCCTCCAGTACTGACCACAACTGTAAACAGCAGGCCAATGTTCCAGCCCAATGAAGGTTTAAATAGGTCAAATTCAGACCAATTGAAACCATTAATAGAGCATAACACATTTTTTGCCATGAAGGCCCATAAACATGGTGTGTCAAACTCATGTTTAATCTTTAGAATATTTCCATTGATGAATTATTAATTTTGTGAGTTTTATTATATTAAACAAAGTGCTTTACAGGAAAAAAATCACAAAAATAAAGTATTGCTCCTTTTTTTTCTTTTGTTTTTTTGTCTTTTTGAGACAGGGTCTTGCTATGCAATTCAGGCTGGCCCTCCACTCACTACATAATTTGTAATACCCAGCCAATACCAATATCAACAGCAATGTCTTAGTTACTTTTCTCTCATTGCTAGGACAAAATACCCTACAACCAGAGTTAAGGAAGGAAAGGTTTATTTAGCTCACAGTTTGTGGAGGTTTCAGTCCATAATCAGCTGGCTTCAAGGCAGGGTGGCATAGCAGACAGGCAATACTTCAAGGCAGCAGAAGAAAGCAAAGCAACAAGAGCAAAAGTGGAAGCCAGACATGGTGGTGCACACTTGTAATCATAACACTGAGGAGGCTGAGGTAGGAGGATCACTGTGAGTTTGAGGGCAGCCTTAGCTACAAAGCGGGCTCAAGGCCAGCCTAAACTTCAATAGTAAGACTGTCTCAAAAAGACAGGGAAAAAAAAAAAAAAAAAGCAAAAGAGGGGAAGAGCAAGCCTTTTTTCCTCTCTTATATTGCATGCAGGATACCCGCCCTCTGGTGGATGTAGTACTCCCACCATCTCAGTACCCTCCTCTTGCACAGGCTCAGGATGTTTACAAAGTGAGGACCCTGGCCCCCTACTGAGTCAGTTAGTTAAACTTCCAACTTCTCAAATTGACGCAATGAACAACAGCATAGAACTGCTGAGTTACTTAGTTAAGGGGCTAGATTACTCAAATTGACACACTTTTCTCTCATTGCTGGGACAAAATACCCTACAACCAGAGTTAAGGAAGGAAAGGTTTATTTAGCTCACAGTTTGTGGAGGTTTCAGTCCACAATCAGCTGGCTCCAAGGCAGGGTATATAATCAACCATTATAAGCAAAAAAAGAAAGAAAGAAAATACTGATAGGCACTCTACAAAAAAATCTTTACTTCAATTATCACACATAATAAAGTTTTCACACATGACAAGAGCACATTCCCAGCTGGGCGTAGTGGTGCACGCCTGTAATCCCAGCACTCGGAGGCTGAGGCAGGAGAATCATTGCGAGTTTGAGACCAGCCTGGACTACAAAGTGAGCTCAAGGCCAGCTTGAACTGCATAGTGAGACCCTGTCTCAAAATGACAAAAAAAAAAAAAAAAAAA